TAGGAGATCTATGATGTGAGGAAGGGCTTTATCGTAGCAATTCATTTCTTAGATTAGCTATCATAGATCTAGGGGTGAGATTTAACACCATTTTCCCCAAATTCAAATTTCAATTCCAAATTTTCCTCCATTTTTCGATTTTGAATTTCAAAATAAAATTCAAATTTTCACAAAGTTTATTTTTCCCGAGGGAATTTTTGTTGTTACAAGAGAGAAGAAGTGTAGACAAGGGGTGTCCCTTATGTGTTAATATTCTTTCTTAATTTTGAATTTCAAAATAAAATTCAAATTTTCACAAAGTTTATTTTTCCCAAGGGAATTTTTGTTGATCAGGAGCGAAGTAGAGGCAAGGGTGTGTCCCTTATGTCTTAATTTTCTTTCTCTTTCATTTCACATGAAATGAGAGAGATAATGAGTGATTCTTTCTCTTTGGATCAACTAATTTTCATATGGGATCAAAGGAATGTGACAAGTGGCATGTAAGTGGGCTGTTTTTTTTTTCGTTTGGCCCTAGGGTTTCAAGAGTAATACTGAACCCTATGCCCCTTCCTACAAGATGAGTATACATGGGATCAATGACTGTATGACAAGTGGCAAGCAAGTGAGCTATTTTATTTTTCCTTTAGCTCTAGGTTTCAATCACAATTTCAAACCCTATGCTCCTTCTAGAAGAACAACCCATTTGCCAATCCAATTTCCCATGTGACAAACTTCATATCTCAGGTGCCCATCCAAATAGCGCTAAACTACATGCCCCTAGAGTGGTGATGTCATGATGATGTTAGCCACAGGTGGCGCTGACCTGGGGCGCACTTGTGGCCCTTTTGGAGGTCATGTGGGGCCTATTGGCCATTTAGTCACACATGTCCTTTTTGGTCTTTATTAAACAATTTTTCTGAAGTTTTAGACAAATATCATTGTTTTATCATTTTGAATTGATTTGGACTTCCAAAAAAAATATTTTGAGGGAAAATTAGGTACCTTCAGGAATTTAATTTGAAAATGTCACACAGTCCACTTAGCTAATCCCTGAACTCTAAACCATTTTCTTAAATTGGCCCAACGGAACCCAAGAACCACAGACTTGAGCAGAGGCTCATGCTTGGTCCATGAAAGTCAACCAATAGATGTTTGGATTCCAATGTTGAAGTGGATTGCAGATGCACCCCCAAGGACGAGCACTCAGGCATTATAGATGTGGGGCCCCATTCTGATAGATCGCTTAGAAATGGCGGTTTCCCTTATTTGTCTATCATATGCACATGTTGTGTGTTGGCTAATGTTGAGGATTTAGCCCTTGTCCAATCAAGCCAAGCACCTTCCCACCCAGGGCCGCAGTAATCCACTACTCCATCGTAATCCATAGTAGTCCATAGAGATCCACAACATACACAATAAATCCAACCATAGTTATTCGAATCTCTCACTTAAGGTCGTGATTCCGATTTGGAACACCTATTCAGCGATGTCGACACAGAACCCCTATTCGGCGATTCCGATAAGGAATCTTCAGAAAAATCATTCATGAAGCTTGAAATCTCGACTCTAATTCTTATAGAATCTCGTTTCCACTATTTTCTAATTCTCAATTCCACAATTGGTGAATCGCTATGCTACACTTGTTGAAACTAGTTTCCATATATAACAATACTCGATTCAATTGTTTTCGAATCCAAATTCCTGAACAAGTGGTACCGTGTTTTGTAGATGCAAGAAACAACGAACTATTCAAACATTGAATCTTGTTTCCATCCTCATAGATCCTTGGTCCTTTTTTTTTTTGAATTGTATTACCACAAAATCAAATACTAATATTCTAAGTGCATAAATATGTGACTTATAAATTGGCCGGAATGTTTATGGATTTTGATTTGAGTTACTTGGAAACTGGAACTGAAGATGATTATCTTCCATAGTTCATGTGTGCTCCGAACAATAATCCGATGAACACATTTCCAAAGTTTTGGTTCCATAAGTCAACATTCAAATGCAAAAGTGTAGAGTATCTCATCTGCTCGCGAACCAAGTCAGCCTTCACCTAGACCCTTCCCTAGAGTGTCTCCATCATCTTCCTAGGGGCTTCTCTATGGGCAATATTCCCATTAGCGTGTAATGAAAGTCATGCATCAAAGGTATTGTATCTGTTATTCTTTAATTACGCGCAACATGCAATCCTCAATTATCATTTAATGTCAAAATCTCGATAATCTCTATCCATGTGTGTCCTTATTAATTCATGCAATATGTAATCTCCTACTAACTTCTAAATATGTCACTATCTATCCATGTGTCTACTTGATGCGTGATTATATGGGGGTCAGAAATCTCAATCACCAGATGGGTCGAAACTCAAATCCAAATTGCTATAAATCTCGATTCCAATCTGGGTTAAATCTCGATTCTAAACTGGTATTAATCTCGACTCGAAATGCCTAGGAATCTCGATTCCAAAGACGTCAAAATCTCGATTCCATAAGTACAGGGATCTCGGTTCCGTATTAGTCGATTCTAAATAGGTCGGAAACTCGATTTCATAGAGCTAAGAATTTTGATTCTATCTATGGAGGGATCTCAACTCCATTTTGGTAGAATCTCGATTCTTTACAATATGTATCTCGTTTCCCACGATTCCTCTTGCATGGATGTCAATTTCGAAAACAGGAATCTTCTAGCCAGTTGTGATTCCGATTTCCTATAACGATTTGGATTCATAATCATTTCCAACAACTATGAATCCAATAGATGATGCCCTGATGTTCTTTCCTCAGTTGAACTCTCTACAAAACTGAATGTAAATATTGTGAAGTGACAAATGATGGGGGTTTCCGTTAAATAACCATCCTCTCCCGCCTCTATCTTGGAGAGATTAGAAAGGCCCTTTGGATGAGGCCATCAAAGGGTTCAATGGGAGGTTGGATTATTGGAATCCAAGATTCCTTTCTCTTTGTCGCAGGATTAGACTTATTAAGCCCACCCCATCAAATGCTCGTGTTCACTATATCCCCTTTCATGATGTCCTCAATCGTCCTTACATGACTCGAGCGCTTGATGAGAGACTTCCTCTGGTCTGGATCAGGGGGAACACAGAAAATACACCTAGCTAGCTAGGATCTTATTTGTAAAGCCAGGAGGGACGGCGATCTGGGAATTAGGAAAACTCCAAGATTGGAACACTGCTTTCATTGAAAATAAAAATTGATAGAAAACACTGCCTTGATGTGTAGGTGGTGGTGGATAGGGTGGACAGAAAATGTACCTAGCTAGCTGGGATCTTATTCATAAAGCCAAGAGGGGGGCAAACTGGACTAGGAATCTCCAAGATCGCAACACTGCTTTTATTGAAAAAAATATTTTTGATTGAAACATTGCCTTGTTGTGGAAGTGGTGGGGTGGTAGTTTGCTAGCCAGAGTGAGGACCTACACAGCAGGACATACATGGTAAGTTAGCCCTGATGACTTGGTCTTGTTGCTAAGACAACATGAAAGTTCGTGCTTCAGAATGTACTGGTTGTGGGCTGCTGAGTTGCTTGGTGGACAGCTTGTATGTTCACCAGGATTTTGGTGAAACCTCCATGACTCAGTGTTCCTTGCAATGTAGAACTTCTCAACCGTATCCAGTCAGTTCATCCCTAGGTGGGCAGTAACAAAGTGATTTGGATTCTTCACCATTTGGGGCAGTTCTCAGTCTCCTCTATGTACAATAGCCTGAACCCAGCAAATGGTGTGCCTGCAATTGCCTCTTAGGTGTGGCAAATACACATCCATACAAAAATACATGCTTTCAATTGGTTGGTAATATCCAAGGCCTTGACCGTTGACGAATTGTAAAGAAGAGGTTATCAGCTACCAAACTGGTGTATAATGTGCAAACCGGCTGAGGAAACTAGTGACCACACCTTTGTGACCGTTCGGATTTGATCCTTTATTCTTGGACTATTTGTCTGGGTCTGGGTGTGGCCTAAAAAATGTTCTCTAGCTGTTCCTGGTATGGCCTCAAAAATGGTCAACAGCTGTTCTCTAGCCAACTTTCCGTGCCGTAGCTTGTTGCCAAGCTCATCTTGGGCAGGTTGGGGGGTTATTTGAACGAATATAGCTGCACCATTAGTGTCCTACTCAGGCCCTATCGGTTCTGCGAACTCCACTAAGGCTGAGAGTATGGCTCTTTGGGAAGGACTGAAACTATTCGATTGGAGTTGGGGGCACACCTAGAAGGCATTTGCAAAATATAATTTCATGTGTGTCAAGGGGTGGCCCTTTGGGGGAACTGTCATATTTGCAGCACCATACAAATGACATTCAAGCAGAAATGGCAGTGAGCAAACTTTTTGCTATGTCCAGATCTTAGTAGGGTCCCTGTAGGGTGGACAGTTCTTTTGTACTTGTGTTTTGCTTATATTCCTTGTGTTGCTCTGGTGTGGAACAGTTTCTGTAATACACCTTATGCTGGCCCCATTTTGTATAGGAGCTGAAATTTTTGTAACTATTTTAATATCTTAATAAAAGACAATTATTCTAAAAAATATAAGTGGACTTTCGGACTTCAGATATTATAATGTTGTTGCTCTATGCCAATAAAAGAATTACTAAAGAGTGTAGTTCCAACATAACCTAGCCAAGCTTTCCATATAGGGATGTCTCCTTTGAGGTATCATTGGAAATTTTTTCAATACGGTTTTGGTGAAGCAGTTTTTGTAGAATTAAGATAAACAGATGAAATATAGGACACGTTAAACCGCACTTAGACTTACTATAAAGGATGTTGAAGTGTAAACGACTTCCAAGATGGCCATTATCTTCTAAATAATCAGATAACTAAGTCATCAACCAAAGCATTCTCTCTCTCTCTCTCTCTCTCTCTCTCAACACAGTTTTTCTCATATTAGTGGATCAGGGCATCCATGGCTTTGAAAAATACACCGTACGACATACTTTTAACACAGTTTTCTGTTACTGAAATACCAGGACATTCCTAACACAATTTTCTGTTACTGATACACCAGGACATTCTTGACTTGACCAAATATGCCACCATACCAGTCGTGAATGGGCTGACAGACTACAACCATCCCTGCCAAATAATGGCTGATGCACTTACCATAATCGAACACATCGGCCATCTTGAAGGAACTAAGGTGGCACTCCTTTCATTCATCCTTGCTCCGATCCTTCTAATCATCTAATGTTCATGTAGAGAGAGAGAGATAGAGAGAGAGAGAGAAATAGAGACTTGATCCTTATCTGTACGTATGTGATGAGAGAGTAGAATAATCAATTTTCCTGTTGCATAACATGTTGTATTGATTTTCTCTATGCAGGTTGTGTATGTTGGTGATGGGAATAACATTGTTCATTCATGGCTTCTACTGGCATCTGTGGTACCTTTCCATTTTGTGTGTGCATGTCCAAAAGGCTTTGAACCCGATGAGGAGACAGTCAGGAAAGCCAAAAGCACAGGAATCAGCAAGATTGAAATAACAAATGATCCAAAGGAAGCAGTTGTTGGAGCAGATGTTGTTTATTCAGATGTTTGGGCCAGCATGGGTCAGAAGGAAGAGGCCGAGTATCGCCGGAAAGTATTCCAAGGCTTTCAGGTAAAATCTACCTCTCCCCCTCTCTCATGGTGTTTCTTTAGAGTAATGACTGGATGCACATTAGCATACCTTTAAAATGCCGTCAAAGTCAATAGCGTCTAGAGCCGAGTGCGGGCTTCTGTCTGGTCGCATGGGATTGGCATAATGCATACCCACTATCAAAGAGGACTTGTTTTCAATTTTAACTAGGATTATAAAACCAGAAAACATTAGGGAAATAGGCATCGATCCCCTTTGTGAATTTATGGTCCCAAGTAAACCTTCGGAGAGCCCATGGACCCCCTTCAAAGTTTTAATAGAAATTATGCGCACATCCCCCTGAATTCTTGTTATTTAAAAAACTAACACCCACCCCCCAAAAAACAAAAACCCCACCCCAAAGAACAATTAAGGAAAAAATTATGTTTTCACATTCAGCGTCTTTTTTATTATTATTATTTGTAATCAAATTGCCACCACTTCAAACCTTAAAGGCTGAAAGTTCAACTTTGAGATCAAAGCACCAGTAAGTGTTTGTCATACATTTAATTTGGATATTCAATGATCGGACATGTTCCCAAAAAACCTTCTTTACGATTCCCCTTCACATCCACCATCTCCTCCACAAACTTAGGAAAGTGTTAGGGTAGGGCTCATCACTAAGATGCACCCAAGCCTTGAGTTCTCTAAAACCACGGTACCATGGCTCATTTGGGTCCTCCATCAACCAGATTCCACATCTAATCTGAGGATAAATTGAGAAGTAAAATAAAAACCTTACAAATGGTCCAACTAAATACATTACACTAATGGTTCAACTAAATACATTACACTAAGGAGAAAATGAGTTTTCTTCCCCCCAGCAAAATTAAAAGGTGGCCTGAATCGAGCTTTCTGGTATTGCTGCGGCCATGGCTTGGTTTTCCTGTATGGTAGATGAGCTCCTTGGAATGGGTCTAGTAAAATTCAGCTTGAAATTTGATTCGGGCATTTTTCGGTGAATTTCTTCACAAGAGGGTTTTTCTTAGGTTTTGGATGAGTCGGTGTTTTTCAAAGGAAAGAGAGCAGATACACTGGAACAAGAAGCAAAAGGGGTTGAACGTTCAATTTTTGAAATTTGGAAAAGGTTTATGGACTTTTGTAGGGGGTCTATATATCCTTTTCCTTTTCATGCTTCAAGAAGCATATCATCTAATGGACATGCGAAACCCCAAAGCGTATATTAAGAACCGTGATCTCTCATGCAAAATCGCTGTGTATATCAAAAGCCCCACTTTCTGGAGATGTAATCTCCTTAACCAAGCATTCAAACCTTAAAAAAAAGGCCAAAAAAATAAAAAAAAATCTTACAAATGCTATACATACCGAAAATAATACCCTTAGTATTGAACAAAGGTATGGTTTCTATACGGTTGCAACTTCAAACAATCAAATTAAGGCTAATCTCCAAATTTTATCATGTAATTTTGGTAGAAAATAATTCTTATGATTATCGTAAAATCTATTTTTATATCTAATTATGAAATTTTAAACTCCAAAAATGGTTAAAATCAAATACATCTATAAACATAAAAATCTTAAAAATTGACGGCCTAAATGATGTATTGCAAGATGCACTATTTCTAGGATTTTTTTTTCTTTTATTTTCATACATCTCAATGTCGAGATCGTCAATTAGAGGTTTTTCAACATTAAAACAACCTTTTCTAATGGATTTTTGAGATGCACATGTAATTTTACATTTTAAGGTTGCAACCTTATATAACCTTTATCTTAAACAGATATTTAGCCCCAAGGAATCAGTGAATAATGTACTCTCTCAGGAGTACAGTTGACCCATTCCACACGCATACAACCATTACCCTCGACCCATGGAAAGCAAGGCTTATGGCCTATAGTTCTCGAATGGATGAAGTCTTTGTGGTTTAGGACTCTCTATTTGCTTTGTCTTGACTGTCGTAAGATTGGAAAATTTCAGGTGGACGAGGCATTGATGGAGATCGCCGGTTCAAAGGCATATTTTATGCACTGCCTCCCTGCAGAGAGGGGAGTGGAGGTCACGGATGGTGTGATTGAAGCCCCATATTCCATTGTATTCCCACAGGCTGAGAACCGCTTGCACGCTCAAAACGCCATCATGCTGCATGTACTTGGCTTATAACCAACATCGAACGAGAGAGAGAGAGAGAGAGAGAGAGAGAGGTAACGCGATTTTGGCAGAGATATTCTTAGGAACAGATGATAGGGGCAATTGACATAAGATCACATACTTTCGGTATACTGTCTTTGAAATTACATGAGTGATGCTGGTTGTGGTTGGATTCAAATGAAATGATGATGCTTTCCAACTTTAGACAAAAGAATACATTTTCTGCTGCTGAAGGCAAAAGACCTTTCACGATTGAATTCTTTTGATGTTCTGCTTTAATGCTCCTCTGAATTGAATTTGTTCCAAGCATCCTGAAAAGAAACAAAAAGAAAAAAAGAAAAAGGGGTGGTTAGCTTCAGGTACTGATGGCCATTTACACATCATAAGTGTTGAATGATATTTTCAAGATCCAGTATATACTTGAATGATTTCCAAGATCTTTGCCTTTTATCAATCACAGAACAGCCATGTTCTTAAGTTTGGTCAATATAATAAACACAAGGGACTACACAAGCAATCAACCCTACTTAGTACTTCTCCATGCATATCCAGACGGACTTTTCTAAGTGTTTTACAAAGTAAGGACCTAATCATCTTTTGTAACACCAGATTCCAGATTCACTCTCTTTCCACCATGCCAATCGTTTTGGGAAGACATGATCTAAAAAAGGAGTGCATAATTCCAGCACTACTCCCACCAACCTGTTTCCTTCCAACTTATCCCTGAAAATTCATGACAGATGATGCTGCCAAATTCTTAAGCTGCCTTTCACTTATCCCGAGAAAAACAAAAATGAGTTGTTATTTTTATGGCCATTTGAATTCTAATTCACAACTGCTTTACAATGCTACCAAGAACTACAACACAGTACGCAAAAGCTAGAAAACCCTTCAAGATTTATGAACCCACTTCTCCCTCTTAATGCGATCTCAAACTACCAACCACTTATTCATATGAAATACCATATAATATCTTCTAGCATACAGGGCTGAACATGGCCACTAACTTCAGAAGCTTTGCAACATTGTTCCAATCAGCCAACAGAAGATATATGTATACAATGCACATTCGCACACCCACACACACAAGTATTCACATGCAGGCACACAGCAACAGCTGCACATACGTGCTATTTAAATTTATTATAGTATTAGGTATCCATGCAAAAGGATCCTCAGTGTTCTATTTTTGGGAAATTTTCAGCTTGTTTCCTTTGGCAGACATTCATATACCAGCATAATCCCCATAAAACCAATGTTCAGTATAGTAACTACCGTCCTATATCGCATGGCCACGAAAGGAAATCTACACATCAGATGCCTGATTTCATGGTAATGGGAAAGAAGAAGCACATTGTCTGGATTGCATGATTCAAATACCACGTTAAAACCTGCATATAAATTAAAAATAAGGACATGGTGAAATACCTTAAGCAGATCAAAAACCTTCTCAGAGATATACTTCTGAGGAAGAGTTGCACCCTTCTGCTGCATCTTGTCAGGATGGACACAAAGAGTAGCCTTTCTGTAAGCCTTTTTAACAGCAGCAGCAGTGATGACTTCTGTCAATGGAATCGGCTGCCAGCCACTATCAGGCCAAAGGATCTATCAAGAGAAAAGGAAAGCAAAACAATTAAGCAGCAGGCCATGTACTTGCCAATGCTGATAGTGTCAAAATAAAACTCTCGTATCAGTATAAAAAGCAACCATTTTCATTGGTTTCATCAAAATTATCATTGTGAAACCAAGCTTCTCGAAGTTTCAGACAAGATTAAGCCTTTTATTGCAATATGAAGAGAGAATGATTCTGTCAGGGAAAAGTGATTTTGTTGAAAACCTGAAAGTATCACAAATTATAGCACAGTCCAATAGAACCTCCATACTTATTCAAGCCCAACAAAAACCCTAAAATAACCAACAAGAACACAACTAGAAATTCAGATTTCACAACTACTATTCAGAGATCAACATGATTATGTGATCAGATTAGAATTTTGTGAACTAACTGCCGTCAATGGAAACACAATAATCAAAGTCAGAAACAGATAATCAAGCATAAAACAGCTATGGATGGCCTGGATATGGAAGATCAATGAGATATTTCTTTTGAGGTAAGGTTTATTGATGTAAGAATATGGGATTTTCAAATCCAGAATTCTAGATCTATAGCTTTAAAGCAAATATAGTATCTACCACATTACATCACAACCATGAAATTTTGGCGAAATTTTGGCCGTGTTATATTGGAATGAGTCTTCAAGATGAACTGATCCAATTAAAAACCAAATAAAAAAGAAAGGGACAAACTGTTGTTTGGCCAGTCTCACCAATCGAATCATCCTAATTTTCATAGTTGGCGGAGAATTTCCGATTTTCCAGCCATTTAGCAAGGAATAACTTTTCTTCTCTTGGTTTTCTCGAGCCACACATGTTAAGTCTCCCAATCTGGCGATGATGAGCAGGGGGCCCATCTACCACAAATCATTGCCTTTTCCTTATGTAACCTCAGCCTCTTTTTACTTTTATCCGTCTCTAATGTAGAAGGTAATTCTTGAGGTTTTTTGGATTTTATTCATCACAAATTCACTCTTTACTTCTCTAATTTTCCATATTTTGACTTTGTTTTCTTTCTTATCTTGACAAAAATTATCATAACCACTTATCCAATGCATGGGCATTTCCTGTATCATTAGAGTATCAATAAAGTACAAGAAGCTACTGGAGCAAACACTTTCACAACTCGGGGAAGGTTCAGAGGACTTTGACGGCATCAATTAGAAGCACAATATATAATCCATGCATAAGAAGTTACAGAAACAGGAACATACGTATTGCAATGTTGAAAGTAGTGCTCGTAAGTTCCCTTCTTTCCCACTTGACCATCTTTTGACATCTGCGTCCAGGGATTCTGCCAATCTCTGCAGTCAAAGAGGAATTTGTTAGGGGAGAAGATAAACCATGCAACCTGGAGCCCAGAAGGCTTGAGGCATCTCATGGAGCAACACATTTCAATGTAATGTGAGTTCGGGGCATTGGCAGCATGCCTTCATCCTACATTTCGTTATCAGATTCTCACAAATCACAAAAGGGGGGGAAAACAAGTATCAGGCAAAACGAAATTTAACAGCAATCAGGAATGCAGAATGAAATAAACAAGTTTCGCTTTCTCACTTGTCTCTCTGCTTGCTCTCTTTGCACTAAAATATCCCGTGCATTTTTCTCCGCAAGCGCCTTTGCCTGAAACTCACAGAAAGGCATGAGACAAAACCAGTCATCAAAGCTTCATGTATCTTTATCATTTACTATTACAAACAAGAAAGGAAAGAAGCGAATTACTGATAAGTGAAATGCTAATAATAAGAATAATTCGGAGATAATATGCACTGTTTCAATATTTAAAATTACTTGGTTTATTTACTAGAGAAGCTTATATACATACCGCTCGTTCCTTAGTGCGTTGATGCCTCTCTAACCTCGCTTTCCGCCTTTCAGCAGATTCACCCCCAGCCTCAACTTTAAATACAAGATCTAGAAGAAGTTAATTATAAGAATAAACACTGTAACCTCAGATTCGGAGGCCACAAAAGGACACCTGTATGTAAAATTTCGGGCATTTAAAGAGCAAGCTAAACTACCAGAATCTGCAGTATCTGAGGCGGGAAATCTCCCAAGCCCTTCACCAGATTGAGAATCAAATGCTGTGTCTTGCGGTTCCTGCCATTGTTCAATGTCATGTGAGTATAAACACATCCAAAAACACATCAAATTTTCTGTAGGGCAAAAGCAACTATGACTCCATTAAGCTACAGTTAATTTCACTCACTGATTGATTAGAGTTCTCTCTCAACTGCCTTTCCCTTGAGGAAGCAGCAAACCTCTCAGCAGCAGCTCGCTCTGCACGTGCTCTTGCCTCTGCAGCCGCCTTTTCAACCAATGCTCTCTCCAAAGCCCTTTCACGAGCCTCAGCAGTGGCTCTATCCATAGCAGCCCTCTGTCTAGCCTCTGAAGAAGCTTTATCTGCCAACGCTTTTTCACGAGCTTCAGCAGCCACCTTTTCAGCTCTTTCACGAGCCTCTATGAATGCTCTCTCTCTAGCTTCAGCAGTCACTCTCTCTACAGCAGCTCTTTCCGCCCTTTCACGTGCTTTTTGGTTTTCTTTTTCAACTGCTACTCTGTCTTTCTCTCTTTCTCGTTCTCTCTCCGTTTCTTCTTCTAGTTTCCTCAGTCTCTCTTTCTCCTCTTCAATGTCCCTTAGTCTCCTTCCGTTCTCGAGCTCCTCCTTTTTCCTGTCTTCTTTTTGTAGGGCTTCTTGAGTATTTTTCTTTCTTCTCACTGCTTCTTGATATTCAAAGGCCTCGTATGTTGTTTTTATTACCTTTTCTTTATCCTGTAGTGCCTCAAATGTTTTCTTGTTTTCTTCCCGCCCACCATCTTCATATGCTTTCAATGTCTCCTCATTTTGTTCACGATCACAGGTTTCCTGAGATGGTTTTAATTTTTTCTCCTTTTCGTCATGCTCAAGTGCATCTAGAGCACCTACTGATTTTTTCTCATATTCAGCTAGCCCACACACATCTTCAGATGCTGGTGACTTCTTCCCATTTTCTTCTTGCTCATAATCACGGGCATTTTTAGTTGCTTTTGAAATCTTCTTATTTTCCTCCAGTTCATCAGCAACTTGAGTAAATTTTATTTTCTTCTTATTGTCTACATCTTCTTTGGGTTTATGCATATCATTTGATTTCCTACCATCTTCCTTCATGACAACAGCCCTTTTCCCTGAATTCACTTCCTTCTCTTGCTTTTCCCCTTTTTTAGTCACGTGAACTACTCCTACATTGTTTGTTTCTTCTTTTTCAGTAAACTCTTCAGTTGATTTTACCTGACTTCCTTCTTTTTCAGTAAACTCTTCAGTTGATTTTACCCCACTTCCCTTTTCTTGGCATACAGGATCAGCAGGAGATGCACTAGCAGACTTATGGTTTTCCTCTTTGTCACAACTTTCCATTTCCTTCTCTGCTCTTTCACAAGAGACCTGAGTTATCGTTTCTTTGTCCTGGGGCTCAACACAAGTTCTCATCTCATTTACTTGCACATATTTTATTTCTTCTTTTAAAACTGGTTTTGTATGGCTCTCTAGAATATCTCGTTTTCGTTCCCTTGATTCCTTGGCAAGCTTCAGTTTCACTTCAGCTCTCTCCATAGCTTCTTTCATAGCAGCTGCTGAGGCTGCAGCATCTAAGGTAGCACTTTCCTCATAATCCAGAGAAGGAGGAGCTCTGTGCTTCACAGCCTCATCATTTAGAGAAGCTCCAGAAACACTTTCAAACTGATGAGGCCTACTACTCAGCATTGACAAAAATAAGTTTTCTTTCTCTGCATAAGCCTTCAGGTCACCCATCCTAATACCTAATTTCGGTGGTGGTCTCGACGGTGGTGGTACTTTGGTAGGCTTTGTTTGGAGGTTGATTTCAGCAACAGTGATAAAAGACTTATGAGGAAATGGTCTATCACCAATGCATGCAACATCACGATCAAAATCACACAAATCCAACTGGTTATTCACAGAAGAGGGAACCTCTTCTGAAGTATCCAGCTTACCCTGAAACTGTTTCGGATCTTCCTTGAGAACATTTTTACCAGAACTAGAAAGACCATTACCAAGGGACTTGTTTGACATTACCCGACCGGATTGATCAACTTCCATTGTCTCCCCATCAAGGACCAAATTGCCATTCAGACTATGAACAGTTCGAGGAGGAGATTTGTCAATCTTTGTCTTGTGAAGAGGGGACAACGCCTTTCCACCAACTGTGTATCTGGGAGCATCATTTAGTTGATGCAGGTGAGTGGTCCCACAGATTACATTTTCTCTGCCCATTTGGTTTGTCATTTGATATAACAGGTTGGATTCCCTCACAGCACCAATCGATTGTTTAGATGATCCATCCAATTCCAAGCTATAAAAAGGGTTGTCAGTTCTTTCAGAGGAAGCAGGGGACTGAACCGGTTGCACCTGTTGCCAGGACTTTGATTCGGGAACAACCCTATGCCACATTAAGTAAAAGGAATCACAAGGGATCAAAATCTAGATAGTGTAGGTGGAAATCATCTTCGATAAAAGAAAACACCAGAAGAAAAAGGCACAAAGGAATTAGAATTGATAAGCCATGATGTACAGCTACAACGATTCCAATTTTAAATAAATTTCCAAATTTCCTGCCTTTTTTCTTGTGATTAGTAAAGTTCAAAAATTTCTTGCAATAAGCAACTCAAATGTTAATCTAAAACTAGCATCATGATTCACAACTATTATTGTGCACATGTACCAGGTTTGATAAATTTAAAGATAATAGAAATAATATAATGTCAAACTTGTCCACAAGAAATTGAACAAACTGGATCTAAATAAGTGCATTTCTTTTGTCCAATTAAGGGTAACAGATGAGATAATCACATGCACCACATAGTGTGAAACAAAGAAACATAAAGACAAGGAACCAAATATTGGCAATTCCACAGAGACAACAAGGCTCCATGAGAGATACAACAAGGTTTGACTGCTAGTGTCAATAAAAACTAGACTAATTGTTCGTGATCAGACACACATGCACACACACTCACGTACATGGGTGCAACACTCTTCATCAACTTCTTTCACAACCGTTCCTATCAAATGGTACAATAGTACGTTCTCCTTCATGTCCAATCTGGAAAACCATAGCTTCCTTTTTTAATTATGCAGTACAGTTAAACCAGAGAAGAACAAGAGATATTTCATCATGTGGTTGTAAAGAGGAAAGTTACTGTGTTTAAATAGAGGCCGTCCGTGCAGCTATACCTCTCTGAATCTCTTTCAATTTATTGCTCTTAGAAATGAATTAGCTCATGACGTAGAAATAACATATGGTTCTCTATTAATGAATTAATTATACTGTTATAGCATATCCTCATCTCTAGTGGAAGGTTTCATTCCTCACCCTTCACCAAACTCAAGATGCCTTAACATACTATTCCCAGTATTGACCCTTAGCTGGACAAACTTAAGGCCCATGCAGTTGAGCACTATCTGCACAAGCTGTTTGGTGCCAAGATTCTTGCCACCAATGTAGAAACGGTTGTGTTAATTTTACAGCACAAATAAGGTATACATTGGTGATTGTTGCATTTTTCAAGAAAGGTAATTTTCCCTCCATCGCTAATATACCGCATTGCAAGTTGGCTTAATGTTGCACGAGGACCATCCATATAGGGGCTTAGCCTTGATATCAATTGCATGCACCACTCTGAATCATACATTGAACTTTTTCTCTTTATTCCTTTGGAGGAGTGAGTTCTGCTCTCTTTTTCAAAGTTCTAGTCATGCATTAGCACTCTTACCTTGTTTCATGGTTCGCAAATGCAACTCGAGGTGGTTCGAAGCAAATGGGTATTGTTGCATATTTTCATATGAACGTTACAAACATGAAATCCACCTAAAATAAAATAAAGGAGCAAAAAAGCAAAAACAATTTAGGGCTTCCAAAGATGGATCATACCTTGATTTCTTGGTCTTCTTGGCCTCTGGAAAGAACAACTCTTCATATGGCACTGCAAAATCCCTATCCTCATTTTCCCCAAAAACATCCTCATAGAGAAAATCTAACGGCCCGGAATTACCAAGACCTCCAAAAACTTCATCATCATCATCATTGTGATGCACTGGAACTTCAAGGAAAGGCACATCCGATGTCATAGGATTCGAAAAATTCCGAAATATTTCATCATAGCCTTCAATTTTTGGTGCGAAAGATGAGACCGTATATTTGGGAGGACCACCAAACACATCATCATACACTAATGTGTTATTCCCAGTGCCATTTCCATTTTGGGTATGGGGTTTTCTGGGAGCCAGGGTTGCAGGGGGCTTACTATGAGGCTTCTGGCCATGGCTTCTGTGTTGCAAATCCGCCATTTCTAAAACCCTAAACTCCCTAGACTGTGGTCAAGTAAAGGAGCCCATTCTAGCAAGAAGTGCACTTTTGCTTGAATCAAGAGTAGCAGAGAAGTTGCAGTGAGCCTCCTGGGTAAGTCTTCTCGACTGCAACTCCTCCAAGAAAAGGACACGCAAGCTTTTCGGCAACTGAAACTGGAGAGTAGACTACGCAGCCATTTTCAATCAGAGAAAGCTCGCTCCATGAGAATACGAGACGAGAGCTTCTGGGCATGGCTTATTTGATACAAATCAGGATTCTTGAGCTAAGCCTCTTCACAGTTACTGTAAGGTGCGTAATGTCAAGCAAGGTCTTCTACAATGGCTCCTGAGCTGATGAGGGAAGTAGGTAGGGTGGTTTCGGAAAACGCAAGCCATGGGTTCTGAGCTCAAAGTTCTGTATTGGGGCAAAAAAGTTAGGGTTACTGCCACGACGGAAGCAGGAGTATGTCCGAATAAAGCAAATGAATCTTTATTACCAGATTTCTATGCAGTTAAAAACATTCTATGCTCCCGCAGGAGCATGTTCTCCTCCAGCTCCCTCAGATAAAATTTAAAATTTACCCAGTACTCCGTGTCTGTTGGGGATGCAAGATCTGACTTCGCCCAGCAATTTGAAAAGGCTAAAATGAGGCCAAGGCCTTATAAAAAATATATATTCTAATCTCATGGTTCACCCAAAAAAAAATATCTCAGTATCAAAAAAATCTCCAACTTGATCTTGATTATTATGGATTTTTAAGAAAAAATTAAGACTTTAATTCCTAAACATAGTGTATATTGTAATGCATTATCTAAACATTTATTTTCAAGTGTTTACATATCTATATGATATATATCCTTTTTTGATGTACAAATTATATAATTAGAGGTGAAAATAAATTTTAGAGCTATTTCGGGGATTTTTCATACCCCAAGTGTTTTTTGAACAAGATTTCTAGGTTAGTCTTTACCTTTTTTTTCATAAGCCCTAGGCCCCATAAAAACTGCATCCATAAAAAAAATAAACGGGGTGAAACAAAAAAAAGCCTTGAAATGCAATAAAGAGAGTCAAATTTCTATATTATTGGATATAATTATGTAAGAGCTAAAATTCTTTTTTTTTTTTTTTGTAAAGATAATCATTCGGCGTTTTCTTCAAACAATAAAAATAATTATAAATGGGGCAAAAAAAGTATTGAAATTCAATAACTATTGTCCAATTTCCCAATCGTCAGATCCAATAATTTAAGAACTAAAAATCCAAACTTTTTTCATATAAAAATAATTAGTGATTATTAATCTCAAAATTTTAGATCGGCAAATTCTTCTATGCTGTTTCACTAGGAGTGTCAAATGGGTTGGGTGGGCCTATGGGGTTACATAAAAATAAATAAAATTTATGAAAAGTTTATATAGAGTCGAGCCTCTAAATAATCAAATTAGAGCTTACCTCAAAAATTCCACTAGAAGAAGTTGTTTGATGCTCAAATATCCTCAAATCAATCATCTAGAAATCAAGATGCATGGATATGAGAAAAAGTTGGATTTCAAGTTTTGGAAATAATGCATCTTGTAATGCACTTTTCGATCGTCAATTTTTAAGATTTTCAAGTTTTCATATATCTGCTTGATCAACAGTATTTTTGAAACTTTAAGTTTTATAATTAAAGATGAAAATATATTTTAAGGCTATCACAAAGATTTTCAACGTTGAAACCACATTTCTCGACACTATTTAAAGGTGGGCTCGTTAGATTGTTTCGGCTCTATGCAAACCGCACCCATATATAACTAATGCCTATTGCGTGTGTGTGTTGGATCAGGTTAACCTTGACTCATTTGTAATCATACACCATAAGATCCATTGCAGATTTAGGCTCAGGCATTGTCTCATGTTGGGTCTAGGTCGTTTGAACCGGACCTCTAGTCAACCGACCCAATTGCCACCCCTAAATTTCACCAGAGGGAGCAAATGTACATAATGAACTCACAAACACATCCTATGCATGCTTTTTATAAGCAGCGCAATATCTTTATGGGGGAGTGAGAATTTTTGAATTTTAGGTGGGGGAAAATGATGGATTTCATATGTTATTTATTGTTATTATTGGTAATATAAGGATGTTGATGTTGTTGATATTAAAATCCAAAATCTCCATTTGTATAGAATCTAAACAATTGAATATCCTCCCTCTCTCATTTTTTTTTTAATGTTAATCCCTCTTTCTCTCTTGAAATAATTAATATGCGAGTATTATGTCCTTGTGAAGTGGCCCATGAGGAAACATGGTCTCCAACACGGCCCCCACACCATCGGCAATATAATATAGTTAAAGACAGAATATTCATACATGAAATCGGGAAAACCCCGAACATGTTCGAGTATTCTAATATATTATTCAGAAAAGTTTCACCTGATTGGACCCGGTCTTTATGAGTCTCCGACTCAAACTTTTCTTGTGCAGGCTCTTTCTAACACCCATTTTTTATATAGATCTTGGATCCAAATTTGTCGAGATCCATGATCTATACTGTGAGGATCATGAATATATAAAAATAAAATAAAATTTTAAAACATCCTTTTCAAAAATTTCCTATCTATGGGATATGAATCTTTAGTTGTGGAGATTCATCTTAGAGATGGACGACTGTGAATCAGTAGGCCAGTGAGTCCAAGGACTCACAAAACACTTTTCCTTGTTATAAAGCACTTGGATTGAAATTTAATATTAGTTGTTAATTAACTGGATACATACTTAATTATTAAGAGTGCCGTTTGTATACAGCCGAGGCTCTAAACAAAAAAGGTGGTATTGGGAGACACCTCTCTCTCTACAGTGAGAGGGAGTGGAAATCATCCCCCCTCCTTTCTCTCTAGCACATAACATTTTCTTGATATCGAAATAACATGCTCCCATGGGGTCCACCTAAGAAATATTTTGGAAGATTCAACATTTAGGTGTTCCTTGTCAAACTAGGGAAGTTCTCAAAAGAATATTTTTTGACTATTGGTCGCCACCCTCAAGGGGCTACATTCGAAAATTTAGAGTCCTAAAAATAATCCTAACTTGAAATTTAACTGATGGAACAAATGGACAGTATGCTTCAACGGAGCAGCATATCTTTTGGCAGTACTAAAATCAAAATAAAATGTGGGTGAGATGTCCATTAAATGGATAATTCAACATCCCGACCTAAATTCTATAACCATTAAAGGCAAATGGCTTGCATTTCTGGTAAATTTCTGGATTTCACATTACTAAATTGACAATTGGGAGTTCCCTTGGGTCGTGACCAAATAAGGAACTCATTATTTATGTCCATGTTTCCATAATATAAACAGTTTTGTTATTAAGCCTACCATAAATAATACAATAATAGCTTACCATACTTATTAAGATTTTAAATAAACAAAAGCGAGGGTCTGGGCATCAAATTGCTGCCTAATAGGCCACTTTTTAAAAGGGAAATTGCGGAGTCTTAGTTGTAAGACCAACCATTCAAGGTTGGATCGGCCAGCTTTCTTTCTATTTAAAAATGGGGGGTAAAAGAAAGCAAACAAAAGGAGATTTGGACAACTCCACATGGGTGTGCTTATATGTCCACACACGAAATGAGAAGCATTAAAACAGGTCACTATCTTTATACGATCCATAGTCCCTTATGCTTTCATTTGTTTTAAAATCCGGATTGGCGGGGTGGATCATTCACCCATAGATATGTGTCAGATCACTGAATCGGCGATTTGGATCTGATCTAGTTAGGTGTTATTTAAAAAATATATATACAAAAGATAAATAAATAAAAATAAAATAAAAATAAAAATAGGGTTTTATGGGTGGAGATTTAAGAGGATTTAAAGAAACATCAGACAAGCTTAACAAAAAGAAAAAAATATTTATAAAATGAGGAGTTTTAACGGGAACCGGGTTAGGACCCAAACCATCCTACGATTCGGTGGCAACTAATTCCCATACAGATCGATGATTCCAAATAGAAAATCATTAAGTTTTAATGCACTTATTTCATTTGAATGCCTAGTTTACCTTTTCCCTCTTGGACAGTGGGGGTCGTTTGGGTACGTGGAAATCTATTACGTACAAGAAAATATGACATTTACACTGTTTGGGTACACTTTCGTAAATTTCCTAAAAATCATGAAATCAATTCCACGCGGTGAAGGGTGAAACGGGTAATCTTTGGAAATCTTTCGCAATCGTCTTTCTAGCCTATCCCGCTTAAAAAAACATTTCCCTCTCTCAAGTTTACGTTGTATTGTATAATTATTAAGGTAAATAGAAAGTACAAGTAGGGGATATGAAAAGGAGAATCTAAATTGATTTGAACAGACGTTCTAGGATCATCATAATAAAATATTTATATATCCTTCTATCCCCAATTTGGGTTGTAGCCCTCATTTGACTCTCATATAAAAACAACATTTTTTAATAATTGGTAATTGAAAGTAAGGGAAATCTAAATTGATTTCAACAGTTATAGAACTTGATGAGGGATAATTTTCTACTACAATTATAACAAAAAAATTTCTACATCCCCCTATCCCCAATTTGAGTTGTAGCCCACCATCAGCTCTCACATAGAAACAAAAATAATAAAAATAATAATTAGTAATCGATAAGAAATTACACAACACAATTATAATAAAAAATTTCACCAACATAATCATCATAAGAGATTAGTAAAAGCTCAATTAAAATAAGATACCTCTTTAGTCTTCTCCAATGCTTCAAAATTTTCTACTGAAATTATCAAACCTTCTAGTTTACTAATCAAACTTCTTTCCATTTTTTAACTTGTACCATAAAGATTTTGATTTTGGTATCATAAATTTATTGCTTATTTGAAATTATATATAGAGACATTTGAAAAACTTCTATAAAAAATAAATGAAAATAAGGCTTATCACAATAAAATCATATTCTTCCAAAGACTTATCATGTTGAAACCAAAGTCTAATCATGTTAGCCAAACATAACCATATTTTTCATATTTGGATGGTTATGTATTTCTCATATTTCTTCCAGACATAGTCAAACAGTACCAATGTATTTATCAAGTTGCATCTAAATACTACCCAAACAGTGACAATCCATTACAGGTAATGTATTACTCCCGTAATATATTTCACAGATAATATATTTTCAGGTATCCAAACGGACCCCAAGTTTACACTCTCATCTATTACACCGCGTCCCTTTAAGACGAAGGGAATAGTTACCATATACCACATAGGGGGCATCAGTTACCAAAACAGATGGCTCAGTCCGATAGGTAGGATCATCTGTGTATTAGTTGCCATAGTGTTTCAAAACTCAGATCAATGAGGTAAATTGTCCACCCCAAAGGTCTATATCAAATCACCGGTTTTAGATTAGTGTGATCCAAAAAAATAAAATTATAGTGGGGCTTTTTTTTCCCTTTTTTTTTAAGGGGTCC